AATGTATGCTATGTTTGACCGTTGGCTGACTACGTATTATAACTTCCTGCAGGCATAATATTGCTGTAACTCAAGGGCAAATCTTGAGGGGTGTATCCAAAACTAACAGATGGCTTTAGCTAAAAGCTAAAAACTATAAAAGGAATTTCCTGCTGTCATTCGGGGTTCAGGCCATTGCTTCTGAACTTGCGCAATAAACTTTTTCCTTCTCTGAAGAGCTGGCTTCTCTGTCCTGTCTTTTCCACAACAAAGAGAATGCTTTTTAAGTTCGCTAGCTAATGCAGGGGTCTCCAACCGTGGCAACTTGAAGCCTGGAGACTCCCAGAATTCCCCATCCAGCAAAGCCCCGTGGGAGCAAAAGATTGCTACTTACCAAAAAGAACAAGCTGTGACTGTTGGGTCTTCAAGTACATGATGTAACAGGCCCCGAAGAACACCGCAAGCGCAATCAGAAGTAAAGGTGAGGTGATGCTGACAGGTGGGAAGGAAAGACCAGTGGGGTTAAATGCAAACAACATGGAGGAGCCCACTAATTTTCTTGCTAATTCCATGGGATTAAAATTGAATTAATAAAAACCTGGCTAAACCCATTGCAACTAAGAATGGAAGACTTTTGTACATATACAAAAATAGAATAAAATAAAGTAGAATAGAACAGAACAGAATAACAGAATTGGAAGGGACCTTGGAGGTCTTCTATTCCAACCCCCTGCTCAGGCAGGAAACCCTATACCACTTCAGACAAACGGTTATCCAATCTCTTCTTTAAAACCTCCTGTGTTGGAGTACCCACAACTTCTGGAGACAACTCATTCCCCTGATTAATTGTTCTAGCTGTCAGGAAATTCCTCCTCAGTTCTAAGTTGCTTCTCTCCTTGATTAGTTTCCACCCATTACTTCTTGTTTTGCCCTCCGGTGCTTTGGAGAATAGCTTGACTCCCTCTTCTTTGGGGCAGCCCCGAGATCTCGAAACACAGCCACCTTATCACCCCTGGTCATTCTTTTCATCAAACTAGACATACCCAGTTCCTGCAACCGTTCTTCATATGTTTTAGCCTCCAGTCCCCTAATCACTACTTGTATATTTGGGTTAATTAATTAATCCCTTTACAGGTTTCCTTGGTGGCTATTTTCTACATTTTCTGCAAACTAAAATTGTATATGCCTGGGAACAAAAGGTGGATTATTTACTAGGCCCTGAATGCTCCCTAATGTGCCTGAGTACAGGCCACTCAGAATCCTTTTAGCAATAGCAATAGCAGTTCGACTTATATACCGCTTCATAGGGCTTTCAGCCCTCTCTAAGCGGTTTACAGAGTCAGCATATCGCCCCTACGGTCTGGGTCCTCATTTCACCCACCTCGGAAGGATGGAAGGCTGAGTCAACCCTGAGCCGGTGAGATTTGAACCGCCGGACTGCAGTTAGCAGTCAGCTGAAGTGGCCTGCAGTGCTACACTCTAACCACTGCGCCACCTCGGCTCTTTTCCTTGATGTATATTGTAGACAGAATTTTATTCAAATGAGCACTGAATCGGGAACAAAGAATCAGGCATTTGTAGCAAACGAAGGTTATCTGTGGTAATGTCACGATGCAAAGGTAACGTCACTGTGTATTATTGCACCCCAACGTCTGATGCAAGAGTGTCAATTGTCATTTTTTGCTCATGACAAAGGTTTGACCCTTCCTCATCCCCTAAGGCACAGATGCCTGTGAGCACAGAATGGGACTCTTCTGCTGATCTCTTTGGGTCTTTCACATACAGCTGACAGCACACAGGCGCAAACTACGGGAGGGAACATAGGGGAACACATTTCCCATTTGTCCTTCCCCACAATTGGGGGCTGGAAGCGTCTTCTTGAAATGCATGTGTCGAAGGAGCAGAGTTTTGAGTGCATGGTCGGGACTGCCAAAGGGGGTTCAAGGGATTGCCCCGGGCTTCGGGGAGTTTCACTGCACAAATGAAGGTCTGTGAGCTGTGGTGGCGCAGTGGCTAGAGTGCGGTACTGCAGGCTACTTCTGCCGACTGCCATCTGCCTGCAATTTAGCAGTTCAAATCTCACCAGGCTCAAGGTTGACTCAGCCTTCCATCCTTCCGAGGTGGGTAAAATGAGGACCCAGACTGTTGGGGGCAAGAGGCTGACTCTGAAAACTGCTTAGAGAGGGTTGTAAAACACTGTAAAGCTGTCAGGGTAATGATGATTTAATAGCTGACCGGCTGCTCTAAGGCTGTAAACCAGGATGATGAAATGGGAATGAGTCAGCAGGGTTACTGCCACTTTAAGAAGCTGTATATATAAGAGAGGCCACGTGAGGGCATCTCTCTCTCTCTCCTCGTTTACTTCTCTCCATTGTAGTTCTCCATGTAGAATTGAAGATTGATTGCTTGCCTAGTATTTTCCTGACACGTGTATGTATGTATATATAAGTCCTGTATTTAAACCACAGTTTGAAAGACAAAACCTCTGTGTACTGTATTTTGCTGCTGGGTTGTCTCAAAACAGTAGTCACGCTGTGCACACTCTGACAAAAGTGGTATATAATAGCAATAGCAGTTAGACTTATATACCGCTTCATAGGGCTTTCAGCCCTCTCTAAGCGGTTTACAGAGTCAGCATATCGCCCACACAGTCTGGGTCCTCATTTCACCCACCTCGGAAGGATGGAAGGCTGAGTCAACCNGGTGGGGGGGGGGAAGGAGGGGAGGAGGGATGCTATCTGCAGATTTTCCTCGGCTGCATTACGTGCTAAAAATAAGCCAGTTACCACCCTTGTTTTGGAAAGAGTTCTGATTAAAAACGCCGCGTTTTGAATGGACTTGGCTCAGCGGTGAAGACGCTGAGCTCGTCGAGCAGAAAGTCCCGATGTTCAGCGGTTCGAATCCCGAGCGCCGTGTAAACGGAGTGAGCTCTTGTTACTTGTCCCAGCTTCTGCCAAACTAGCAGTTCGAAAGCACGTAAAAAATGCAAGTAGAAAAAAATTTGGTGGGAAGGTAACAGTGCTCCGAGCGCCTTCGGCGTTGAGTCATGCCGGCCACATAACCATGGAGATGCCTTCGAACAGCGCTGGCTCTTCGGCTTTGAAACGGAGATAAGCACCGCCCCCTAGAGTTGGGAACAACTAGCACTTATGTGCCAGGGGAACCTTTACCTTAATCCCACTTGATTCAAAAATAGGCACACACACAACCTTAAGATGCTGGCTTTCCCAATATGTTGCCATCTAGGAAGGAGGAATAAGAACTCCAGAATTGCAACCCTAGTGTGTTAACAACTGGAGTGGGGTGCTTGTGTAGCTCATCACAATTGGTGGACATCTGATTGGGAAGTCAGTAGTGATTGGAACGGAATTCTTGAACCTTGGTTGTTGAAGATGGGTGGACTTCAACTCCCAGAATTCCCCAGCCAGCTGGCTGGGGAATTCTGGGAGTTGAAGCCCACCCATTTTCAAATGACCAGGATTGAGAAACAGGGCACTGGTTGCAAGGGGGAAAAAAACAATGTCCATTGCAAAAAGGAAGAAAGGGAATTATATTTTCATATTATTTGGAAATTGTTAATGCAATGGGGAGGAAGGCCCGTAAATATGTCCACCATCGCCCATTTTTTGAATATGTTGAATATGAATATGTTGGGCCACCCACACCTGAGCTGTCAACATTTAAATAACCACGGTACAATGAATCCTTTGCCATCTGGTGGTCATTCCAGATATTGCACCCTATTTCTGGCAGCCCCAAGACAAACCATTAATTGCACACTCCACTTACACCCGGATGGGGTGTAAAAATGTTGTGTTCCTACGTGAGTGCTCTTGAAAGAAAATCACCTCACATTGTAAATAATTAAGGCATCTTTCTTGTGCCTCTCCTGAAATACTCCCTATTTATTTATTTATATCCCACCTTTATTATGTGTGTGTGTGTTTTGTATTTGAGCTGATAAATAAATAAAGGGGGACTAGTATAGATCTATTTCAAGCTATTTAGCTCTCATCAGCTAGCCATACCCTTACTGGGATTGATAGCCGATGAGAGCTAAATAGCTTGAAATAGATCCATACTAGTCTCCCTTTATTTATTTATCAGCTCAAATACAACACAAATGTAACAAAGGCAACAGTAAAATATTGGTTTTCTGTCTGGATGATCTCTTGTGATGAGCCGATAGACAGAGAAAGGAAGCAGTATGCCTCCTCCCATATTTTGGCATACCAGGGTTGTGACACCATATATATATAAAATAANTTCCTTTTCCCCCAGCCCTCCCCCACCCAGATGGGACACCTGACTCATCCTTTCCTGCATGCACGCCCCCCCGTCTGGACACAAGGGAGGGACGCATGCCCCCCCCCTTCCATCCCGCCTCTCACCCACTTCTGCTCTCTGCCAAATTCTGTTTCGGTTTCTAGAGGCAGGCTACGGGAAGAGAGCCCATGTGTGTGTGTGAGAGAGAGGGGGGGGGAAACATGCCATGGGAGGGTGTGTGTGGGTGTGTGTGTGGGTGTCCATCTTTCTTAGCCTCTGCAAAACGTCTAAACTCCCAACACTCAAAATTCCCTCCCGGAGCTGGGATTGAACGCAGGGACCAGCCACTTCGAAATAAACTTGCCTCGGAGATGACAACCAAACAGGGGAGGGGGGGGGAGCAGGGGGAAGGATTATGACTCGGTTTCCGCTAGTAAGAGATTAGATTTGAAGAGGGGGGAGCTGAATTCATGCTCTCCTCACCCGCCCCCCCCAACCCCAGCCGTGCCAATGTGTTTCCCCCTTTTCCTTTCCCCTTGTGTGCACATGGGGTGAGTGTGTACGGGTGATTGTGTGTGCCTGTGCTTGTGCAAACGAGAAAGGACAGAGGTTCGCCGTGATTCGCTTCACGGCCCAGCAAAGCTTCCCGAACATCCTCGGAAACATCCTTCATTTTTAGACGAAAAAGCAGCGGGAATTTTTTGCCCCCCTTTCCCTTAAAAACCAACATGGCGGCTCTAAGAACGTGTGGACTTCAACGCCCAGAATTCCCTCAGCCAGCCATAGCTGGGGACTTTCAGTTCCCAGATTGGGACACAGGGCAGCCTGGGGAATTCTGGGAGTTGAAGTCCGCGAGTCTTAAAAATGGCCGATCTTGGAGACTTTCCCCCCTCCCTCCACTCTAACCCCTCGAGTCCGACTCTGTAGATGTGTAAATGAAAAACTTAAAACGGGGTGGCACCTCTTTCTTCTGCATGTAAATTTGCTCTGCTAGCATCTTTGGGGCAGCCGTTTAAGCCACCTTCCCTCCAGGGGGCAGCCCTGCACCCATCGGAGAACAGACGGCCTTGTGGGGAGGGGGGAGGTTGCCCGCAACTGACCCAGGGGAGTGGGGTAACGTTTCAGGCTGTCTTCCCGTCGGTGCTTAATGTGGCCCCTTCCCCTTGGTCAGACGCGCTCCTGTTTCTTGAGCCTGCGACTTCAGCCCATAGCCCCTTCCCCCCGTAGAGCAGGGGGTCTCCAACCTGGGCAACTTTAAGACTTGTGGACTTCAACTCCCAGAATTCCTCTGGGCTGAGGAATTCTGGGAGTTGAAGTCCACAAGTCTTAAAGTTGCCCAGGTTGGAGACCCCCTGCCATAGAGCCCGTCTTCTAAACAGAGTTGGTGGGAGGGAAGGCGTCTGCTCATTCCTGGCGGGTCGAAGGCGGCTTGATCGCTCTGGGGCTGCCCCATACATCACACCCAGCCCTTATGTTCTTTGTAAGGTGGGAGGCGAGGGGAGGGGGGACATAAATGTCAGGTCGTTGTTTTCTGTCCCATCTCCCCTTCCCCTTTCGGGATTGTGTCGTCGTGTGAAACCAATCAACAACAAACAACAAACAACAACAACCCAACCAATTTAACAAATAATTAAAGAAGTGGAATATTTAATATGAGATATGTGGCCGCCTCATTGTCTACGCCAAGGGTGTGTGTGTGTGTGTCAGGTGCCTTGCGAAAGAAGAACTTCTGGTCCCAACCCCTTTTTATTAATTGACTGTGAATTCTGCTCGTTCACATCCAGCAAAGTCTTTCAAGGGAGGATTTACGGTCACAGACCTTATCTGGCTTGGAGAGCTGCCAGGCCGATCTCTGCAGGACTTGGCAAGGAGTCTCGGAGAGTCACGAACCAATGCAGTGAACTAATGGTCTCCTGCAAACTCCACTCCCCTGTCGCTCCTCTTTTATTTCCTCTGGGAGGGGCCATTCATCGTCCACCTGTGGCCTTACTCCCAAGTCGACCCCTGTTCTTTAGCTGTTCCCTTCGTTTAGAAACTCTGCACATGCGCACACTGGGAACAGGCTCCAGCTGTTCTTCTGCCTCACTGATGTCTGACTCTGAAGGCAGCTGGTAACTGCCATACGGCCTTGGTCCCCTCTCTGCCTCCGACACAGAGCCCTCATCAGAGCCTTCCCCAGACTCCAGGACTGGCCCCTGTTCCTCCCCATCCTCCTCACTGTCCGAATCTGCTGACAGCTCTGTTGGCCACTGGCGGACCACACAGGGACACTCCCCTCTACCTGTAATGCAGAAAGATGGGATGTACACAATAAAATTATGGGTTGTGCTGGATCAAAGCAAATCTCTGGAAGAAAAAAACAAAATAGGTGTTCCATT